GGACTCCTTCAGAGGATAAACCACTTCAACAAGGTAACATTAAAACTGAGTGGACCTGACAAGACAATTTGTTCATCCTCAGGTAAAGACTCACATTCCAGAAGTTGTCCATCTCTGTAACTCCTCATCCTCTATGCCAAAGTTTAAATGTATTAGAGTGGGAATCTTTTCTACCATGGCAAGCATATTCCAAAATCACGCGTCTTTCACTGTAATTGCCCAGTTCATCCTTGCATTCAGGTAACAGCATATCAGCTTAAGACACCATCTCCTCCTAACCACAGTGAAAGCACAGTATGAAAAGTTGCCTTACATATTCATGCTATGCCTGTTAGATATTTTGCAAGTTGGCACCATTAGCTTCTGCTAGAAGACATGTCCAGGTCACACCACAGCAGTTGCACAGCTGAGGCAGTCACCGAACCTCAGTCGATCAAGAACACAACAGCTAATCCCCGGCAAAGCTCCGTTTGCTGCTTATTCCAGACTCTCACTGAGGGCTTGACGGGATGGCTCGCATCCACTGCTTTGGAGTGGTGGCTTTGCTCTCCACTTGTCCCTACAGGGGCACAAGGCAGGTAAAATAGTTGTTATGTTTTTAGGGCAACCAATTACTCCTTGAAGAAGGCATGTGCATTTAACAGCAGGATAAAGCTTCTATGGAAGGCACCTGTATTTTTTTAAGTTTAGCAAATATGTACATATCCTACATAAACATGTTTGAAACAAATATTAAAACCAGTAATTGAATCTAAAGTTTGGGTTTTGTTCTTTTGATGGCAGATTTAATGCGGTTACCCATGGCCATGGGGACTCGACGGACAGCGCATCCCGCGGGGGCGGAGGCAACGCGCCCCCCCTCCGCGAACCCCAGGGCACCCGGCTTCATGCAGCGTTTCAAGAGCACCACCTTGCGGTTTTCCCTTTCCGGAACATACTTCAGTTTTTAAAATCTCCTCAAAAGGGTTCTCAGCCCTTGGCTTTAGGGGTAGATATTTTGGGACGTGGGAAGGGAATTCTTATCACAATCTTAATCTAGATTCCTTTTTTAAAACTCTGTGAGTCAGGGTGGACTTTGTATTTTTACCACTAAATATCCTGAGCTTTTTGAGAGTGATCACTGCCAGAACTTTGAGTTTTAAATTTTTTTGTCAAACAAAACATGCAACACGCTAAAATATTGCTTCTTTGCAACTAGACTTTGGCTGGTGACAGTGTACCTGACACACGCTGCACTTTTGCCAGGCATTGAAAATCACCCTTCGATGTGAACCGCTAGGCTGTGTACTGTGCTAAGGTGCCAGCAATTGCAGAGTTGAAGAAAGAGTTGGGTTTTTTTTTTCCATTTTGGTTCTTCAATGCCCCACACTCCTCAAAGCACAAAGGCTGCTGCTGGAGGATAAATTACACTGATAAATGCATACAAACTTGTCCTTGTTTTTACAAGTGATTATATCATCAGATTAATCATCATTATCTGACACTTCTCTCCAGCTTCTCTGGTTGCTGTAGCGGGACAGCAGAGATTGCCTTTAATGATCTGCAGAAAGATGTAAGCATCTCAAGCAGCTCCTTGAGGTTTTCAGGACAGCATCTTCAGTGCAAGAGAGAAGAGCTGCAAAATGTGGATATTCAATATTGATTTCAGAAGATCCTAACTCTCTGCCTCTGCCTGCCTCCCAGCTAGGGTCAGAATGAAGTTATCGAATATTCTGGCTCCGTAGTTGTTCAGGCCAGGGGGAACAGCTGCTAGCCAAGGCATTTTACACAGCAGAGAAACATCCCACTCTGCCTCACCACGCTGAGCCATACTTACAGATAAGGAAATAACTGCGAGAAATCTGTACTCTAGCACCAGCCAGACAGGGGACTCAGCCTGCAGGTATTTATCACCCTCTGTAGATCTGAAAGACAAACAAAATGTGGGTAAGAAGCTTATCACGTTCCTGCAATATCACTAGGGCTGCCAAATGTTGAGTTTGAAAGTGGTTTTGCCAACACAGCTGTAGTAGTTGAGGACGACTCATCTCAATACGGCAAGTGCTATGCTCTTGCACAACTCTCACATTGTTTACATATCAAAGGCAAGTTCAAGACAGACTCAGCACAGACACTGACAACAATCTGCATCTACTACTTTGTTCCCACCTTTAGCACATAAATCACTCTCCTCAGCACTGGTTGGCGCACCTGCTAGTACTAACATACAACACCCTTACTCTCAATGAGGAGCTGCTTTCTCATTCAGCACTAGATGCTACCATGCCTGGGTGGGGACTGATTGTCCACTCTGTTTTCTGCCCTAGACCATTTGTACACTGAAGCTGTTTAGGAAGAGATCAACGGTCATGTGGCTTTCAGTAAGATGCATAGTTTTTATACAGGTCCAGTGCTCAGCATTGTTGGGCAAGGTTTCAACTGCTGGGCAAGATTACCAGCAAGAAATAAATAGCTGTGTGGCCATCACAGATCCCCATACTTCTCTTAAAAAATTTTGCATAACAAAATTGCAAGCATTGGTAACAGGTCAAGGTCCTTAAGAAGCTGTCACCCACCTGTTGAAGGCTGCAATCTTGAATGTCTATTCTGATTCTTAACACTAAAGCTGGTAGGCAAGGTTCCGAGGATCAGGATGAGACAGAAATGGTTGGGCAAGAGGAAAGAAACAGCCGCAACGGTTTGCAGCAGACCTATTACACCTTGGCTAAAGCTTCATTAGAAGTCAAGTAATCTGACCTTTCCAACAAGGTTTCAGATAGAAGACTGTTGCCTCTTATCACTCAGAAGTTAGCAAAAAATATCTGTTTCTTCATGTTGTTCATCTCCAGTTGTGACCACTGAAGCCATGTAGTCCAATTCTTCCCCCTTATCTGGAGGTAACAACGAATTTTCCTCAAAATTCTGCATAAGCAGATAAATTTCTACCAGAAACAAACAAAGTTGGACAGCAGACTGTTCTCCTTAGTAAGCCCAAAACCTGAAAAGGTAAACCTGTTGTTTGTAACATCCACATTCAGCTTCAAAACAGACACAAAAGTTTTAATTCAAGATGTATAATACCCTGCAACACCAGTCTGACTGTGGACGCTTGTGCCACATTTCTCAAAATCAGTGTACAAAAGGGCAGCTCTGTCTAGATCACATTAAGCTATCTGTGCTCTTCAGGTCACAGGAATTTCAGTAGACAGAGATGAAGATTCTGTAACATACTTTTGCTTATAATATTTCTTATCTATCTGTGCTCAGCCTACATCCTAACAGACTCACTGTCATTGCATGCATACCAAGCCCCTGACCATTGCCTTCTTCATGTCTCACAAAGAATACTGGAAACACCAATATCCAGTAGTTGAGGGCTGCTAATTCCTATACAAACACCACTCCCCTCTTCTGGCCTGCAGGACTTGTTGGTAAAGGTGGTATGGTCTAATTACCAGAATAAGGTATAGTAGGATGGAAGATTTCTACCTTTGATTCTCAGATCTTAAGCATATCCGTAAGTGGACTTAAACACACAAAAGATTTACAGAATGAAAGTTCTTGATGTAACTCAGCCAGCATCTTATTTTAAGTCTCAGGTTTAGATTAGATTAAGTTCACCACATAAAAGCAGAATGCTAGAGGTCCTGCTCAACTGTTTCTACCACTGCTGCCACAAATGGAAAATTAACCAGTGCAGGAAAAGTTGCCATGCTGGATATAATTGCTGTCCCAGTTCAAGGAGCAGGAACTACAATGCTGCCTTCCTAGTCTGTTTGTTTACTAATAGGAAAAAAACACCCAAACATCAGACATTTCCAGAAACGATCAGTCCTTTTCTTGAAAACTTGCCTTTCTTTGCAGCAGAATCGCGAAGACCTTACTGACAGTGAGCTAGTTCTGCAACAGCAGCACAAATCCAGCCAAGAGAAAAATCTTCCATTGAATGCATTCGTTCAGAAACTATCGGCACTTACTGCTAAGATCCTTTAGGTAAGCTGTAGGAACACAGCATGAGAATGGATTCAGTACGTTTTACACAAAACCAGATTTGCTCTTTGTTAAATCAACATTTTTAAGAAGCACATACTGGAAAACTTTAGAAATAAGCATGAAAATGAATCTTTTAAGATGATAAATAGGAAGTCCAGATTTGCCAACCAAGCTGTTGAGAACAGTAATTTATTTTCACATTTACAAGACAAACATGAATAATATTTAAGGTAGTATTTACAAATATATACAAATATTTTTAAAAAAATCCTACGATTTGGAAAAAATGGCAAACAAAGTATTTTTTAGCAGTAAAGCCAAGATACAGTACTTTTTTTTTTTTTTAAGTTGGAAAGGGTATCACCTCAGTTCAAGGAAAACCTGCAGTTTCTGAACGAAGAAATGAAGGAAGAGCAACAATTTAAGATTCACATAAGGCAAACCACCAGAGAAAAAGGTATGATGAATGTTCACATTTTAAAATTAAGGCAAAGCCTTGAAAAAAAAAAACATAAAATCTAGACTCCCTCATAATTTTATGTTAAAAGGGACGTCACTCACCTCACTTGACATTGTCACTATAAATGCTTTTAAAAGACTTTTGAACAAGAGCAAACATTTAAATAAAACAGTTTATACTTCCCCCTTCTGGCATTCAAGATTGCTATGGTTACACATGGAAGGCTAATTGCCAAATATTTTTTGGTTTGTTCATTATTATTGTGGGGTGTTTTAAAGACTGGAACACAACAGACAAACTGTCAGGACGATATTTAAAATGTTATTAGAATCCATATCCAGAATTCTCTTTTAAATTTATAGATTAGTAAGACTCTTTTGAATGGATATTTGTGATGATTCCTAGGAATTTCAACATGACCAAATAGAACAGAGGAATAATAAAATTAACCTTTTTTTAAATATAGAATAGCAGAAAGCATTTTCTTGTTTGATTTTCTTTGTGGATAACTTCGTATCCTAAAAAAACTTTTAAGGGACATCTGACAATTTGTACTGGGATGGATGGATCACAATCGCTGTAGATTCTGTTTGCTTTTCTTAGTCCCAGGAAGCGGCCCCAGCTTAGAGTGGGGTTTCACTGGTCTCCCACTCGTACAGTCACTGGAGCTGTGGTAGCCGCACAGGCACTTTGTGCAAAAGTCAAAGCCACAACTTTCACGACTGCACGTCGCTCTTTGTAGATAGGAGTCATACTTTGCAGGCGAGCCACAGTGATTGCAGACTTTAAGGCTTTCAGTGTTTTTCAAGGTCTTGGCAGCCTGTTGGAAAAAGCATATAAAGAAAATAATGAGTGGAGGGTAAATACACACCCCGAATATTCCCTGATGTTATCCGAGTGTCAGAAAACATGTAACTTCTCCTACTCAAGAGACAAATTATAAATTTAGCCTAATGCTGGTTGTATCAAATTCAGATGGAGATTGAACAGGAATAATCAGTCTATAACTGCAGGCATTTTGGACTGCAATAGAGGTAGCCAATTTAAAATTCTTTAAATTTTAAAGAAAAACAGCCCTCCTGAATCCTCCAAACCTTGTCCAAGGATGGTGATTTAGTTAACTTTAATTTTAAAAAGGAAAATAAATCTGAATTCCATTTAAATCATTAATCTTTTTGAAAAGTGAGCAATGTGTCCAGAAATCTCAGCTGTGGGGTGCTCAGCTTGAGCTCCTACTTCTCTCCAATGAATTCATTTTTGACACAAAACCAGATCCACCATTCAAAATCATCCAGCATTAGAAAATTATAGACCTGTGTAAAACCTTATGTCACTCAATTATAAAAACATTTTGCTTTTAACAATGTATGTGTATTTTGCTTTTAAATGTATGTGTATAAACATATATGTTTACCAAGGAAAAAAATTTTAGACTGCTAATTCAGTGTACAGTTGAATTTTCAGATCCCTAATGCTACAAAGTGCTACACAGTAGTATTAGAGCAGCTTGATCATACTTTCCTGTGTAATTATATCTTCCTCTCTTATCGCACCAATTTGCAGAATAAGACTTTTGAGCTTAAGTATAAAAACTTCTTCTAGTTAGGAAGAACCTGTTGCTTATTAACAAACCATGACTTTCAATAAACATTTTTAAGAGCCTTATAAGATACTTGCAATGTAGACTTGCACTTGTACATGAAAAAAAAAGCTTAAGAAAAATAACAAGGTGAAGGGAAACAGGCTGTTGGCAGTTGTTGACAAGTCCAAATGTGTGACACACTACAAATGTCATTAAAAAAGCCATGTTAATGTCAGATAATTAGCTGAAAAAAAGCATAGAATGAACAGAAGAAATATTAATTTGTTTATTTTTTAAAAAAGAACTACTAAGTCTTTGGGGTTCGTTATAAGCCCACGGAAACTAAGAGGAAACAACTAACCTTTTTCATATCTGATCCAATCCAAAATTTAAGCAAAAAAAAAAATCACTAAGCCATTTTGAGCGCACCTAGACAGCCAGGGAAAAAACAAATGTAGAACATCCCAGTGTATCAATACTCTCCACTTAGTTTCTGACATTGACTTATAAAATAGGCTCAATAAGCAAAATCTGGCAGCCATACTAATAAGACTTACAAGGACTTCAAACTGGAGATACTACTTTCAGTAATATGCCATACAAGCTGTCCCAGACAATGTGAGAAATTAAAGATGAATGGAAATCACTAGTTACCTCAGAAAACTCCATGAGCCTGCTGTGATTCTTAGATACTTTGGACCTGGTGCCTTTTTTATTCAAGTTGTTTGGTGGAGTTGCTTTCTGAATGGAAGCTAAAGCCGCTCGGTAGAGAACATACTCCCTTGTTGCAGCATGCTCTGATGCCTTAGTGCCATTCTAATGAAAAGAAAAACAAGAATAAAATTTGAGAAGAGACTTATCTGATACTGATTTTTTTGTTTAATAGAAGTCAACAACTTATGCTAGTGCAGTTAGTGTTTTTGTGGTTAGTGTGGCTTGTATTTTTTATTTCATAGGACAAATAGGCATTAGGAATAGCTCACAGTGCAAGAAACTTCTGTTTTCTGTAGTCAACATGTTGCACTTCAGAGACTGCTGCTAGAAAGTATAAGCGGAGAACCTGAGTTGCACAGCCAGCTGAGGGCTTTCTCTCGGTCTCTCTCCCTTCTTGGGGACACTGAAGTAAGCAAGCCCCTGCTGAGAGCCTCTAGGGCTTGCCCAGCAGGCAGTGCTGGAACTGACGCTCTCCTTCCTGCCTTCCTCTGTAACACAGGACGTGTGGAAGCTCTTAAGAACATCTGCATCTCTCCTTGGGTAACCCTCTCAGTCAGCCTTCCTTGGGCTCCAAGGAAGTGACTAGCAACACTTGAGACAGGGCATCCTAAAAGGACAAACTCAGACACCCCAGTGACAACATTTTCCATTTAAGGAACTCTTCTGCAATCTCCTAAGGCTGGGAGGAGTCAAGAAATGGCAGAAAGACACTGCTGGTTTAGGCTTGAAATATCTAACAAGCACAGAAACTTACAGAAAGGTTTTTCACAGCTTTACTATACTTTTGGAAAATCCATTTATCTTCTTGTAGAATCTTCTGCCATGTTGTGTTGACTTTGGCAAAACTGCAATGACAATACAAACATATCAGTTACCTCCAAGGAAAGGGAAAAACTTTTCATTTAATAGTGGGGATAATTATGTAATTTTTTTTTTCATGTAGAAGATGGGATATGTTCACAGTTGTAGTCTTTAATTGTCCTTCTAGGAAAAGACACATTCCCCATATATATCATGGCTTATATTAAAACATGAACTGTCAATGTATTAATACATAATATTAACCATCGAGTAAGTGTCACAAGCCCCATATCTAAAACATTCTTAAGCCATCTGATTGGGTCGTTTCCTTTCCCAGTGAAATACAACGAGATCAATATACTTACTTTATTAAATCCATCTCACAGAGATGCCTTAAAATCTTTGCTAATATATGCTTCAGGTTCTTTTGGAAGAGTTCGGCAAGAATGTCTACTCTATCTAATCCCATTTTCTTTCCAATTAGGTTACAAAGTTCAACCTTTCCCTTAAAAACAATTCTGTCTACTGCAGCCCAAGACTTGAGATTTCTTTTACCGCTTTTTTTCAAAGTTGAGCAAATCATTTCTTCATAATGGATTACTGGCAACAAAGTCTTCTTTGAAAATTGTGTTTGGTTTTGGTTCTTCATGAGACAATGCTTTGGTGTGCCACAGAGATTCCCAGCCAAAGGTATACTATCCTCAGGTTCTATTGCATCAGCATATTGATTACTTAACATAGAGGAATAACCACTGTCATCATTAAATTTACTGTTTTCCAGTGTCTCCATCTCATAGATACCTTCATCAAGTCTCTGGGTTACTTGCTTGTTTTCTTTGTTATGTACAGGTCTTCCTTCATCTTCAAGATCCAGATTTCTGGTGGCCGCATGGCATGAGCCACCAAGGAGTACTTTCTGACAGTCTTCAGCACAGCTTTTACAAAAGCCTTCCTCATTATTCAAGGGGCAGGATGCTTCCAGTCTTGTTTTCTCTACAGCAGATTTCAGTGATGGAAACCCAGCACGAAGAGACGTACAATCAAAATCACATTTCATTTTGAAAGAGTGGTTAAGGTTCGATTTCATTATTTTGCTTGTATCCTGGAAGAAACGACAAGGACAGTATTACAACACAGCATAAACTGCACCACAAATTCTTTTTCTGATAAAGAACCAGTCATGCCTTCCTTCTGCATTACGAATTTCAAGCTTTTATCTAACTCACCCTCTAGTGTCTAAAACACAGACAACTAGTGAAACTAAGGATTTGAACAGTCACTTGTCAAATCTATGTAAGATCTTCCCAAAATTAGAGCTCCACATAACTGCAGTGAGAAAACTGACTGGGTGATTTACTTTGTCACCATTCCATCAGTACAGATTACTTTTAGACACACCAGCATCTCCACTTCCTACCCGAAATGCAGTGACACACTCAGGATACGTGTGGTCGCTGCAGGGGACACCAGTGGCGGAGGGTTCCTGAGCGACAGCAGGCCCGTGCGGGGGTATAGCCAGGCCAGGGCAGCCTGAAGTTTGCATCCAAGGCCAGAGGCAATGCTGCTGATGCAGCCAGGTATCCGGCATTTTTGAAAAAGGGGGGAAGCTGGGTGACACAGGAAAAGCCTGAGTACTCACATGCATGTGTAAATTACAATGGAAAGCGGCGACTCTTAAACAATGGTCAAAGTGAAACAAAGGTTACTTACAAGCACGATTTTAAGAGGGTGGGAGGTCGATAGATACTAGAGGGAAATAGAGCTTTTCTTGCCCTGTTTCTTTCCCTGCGAAATGTGGTGCCATCTATATTAACAATTGCAGGGGGATGGGTGAGGGCTGAAGGGGAGAAGGAAGCCATCTCTGTCGTGTTAAATCTAACAATGGTCAAAGTGAAACAAAGGTTACTTACAAGCACGATTTTAAGAGGGTGGGAGGTCGATAGATACTAGAGGGAAATAGAGCTTTTCTTGCCCTGTTTCTTTCCCTGCGAAATGTGGTGCCATCTATATTAACAATTGCAGGGGGATGGGTGAGGGCTGAAGGGGAGAAGGAAGCCATCTCTGTCGTGTTAAATCTAAGCGGAAAATTATTTGCAACATGCTTTGCAATTAGGGAAAAATAAGCTCCCGCATTTGCGCAGGTATTTTGAGGGATTTAAGCACTTCCAGCAGTTTTGGAAAAAAGTATTAGAAAAATGTGTTTCATGAACGTTTGAGAGAAAGAGTCCCTTCTTCGTACCTACGTTTGATGGAAGAGCAAATGCACTTAGGGCTCTGCACAGTGTGAGTTGGGGGAAGAGATGCAAGCCCTCGCTAAGCCGCCTCCTTCCCTTCCCCCCTCGCTTGCGCGCCGCGAGTAAGCAGAGCTTTTGGGCTGAAACCCTGCAGAATTGGGAAATGTCCCCTCCACCCCGTGTTTCGGGGCGCCAGGGCCG